AGAAGTGGATAGGCCATGAGAGCACCTCTCTCAAGAATGGGATTCGGTGCCCTTATAAAACAACTTTACAAAGGAAGTTCATCCCTCTTTGCCTTCCACCTTCCCCCATGTGAGGAAACGGTGTTCCTCCCTCTGAAGGATGCAATGTTCAAGGAGCCATCTTGGAAGCAGACAGCTGCCCTCATCAGATGCCCGAACCTGCAGTCACCTTGATCTTGGAATTCCCAACCTCCAGAACTGGGAGAAATAAACTTCTATTCTATATGAATTATCCAGTCTCAGGTATTTTGTTACAGCAGCACAAAATGGACTATGACACATTGAATCCTTAAAAGTGGGAAAAAATTTAAAGGAAGCACCAACCAAGTGCCATGGGAAAGTGATTCCATGTCATTTTATAATACTTTCCAGCACTTAGCCCAGTGCCTTTCCAATTGTCAGTGCTCAATAAATAATTCTTACTGTGTTTTAAGGGGAAAAAACTGAATTAACTATGCAGGTCACTTTGTTTTCTGAATTTTAAATAATTGGGTTTATGACTAGTAAACTGAACAAAGAAATCTGGTTAGCTGATGAAATTGAGGTGATGCTACCTAGCATGATTAAATGACAAATTTCTATGTTTTGATTTTCTTCCATTAAATAGATATAAGGACTTTCTTATTGCTGAGTTGGGTTTGTTTTTTCTTTTTCGTAAGAGCCTGCATCCAGTCATTTAAAATGTAAACTTCCATTTGTAAAACGAGTTTTAATAGCTTTTAGAAAGTCATGACAAATGGCTGGAGGAAGGCACAATGAAAGTCACAAATTACTATTAACTACTTCGGATATAAGTGAGTTTAAAATAAACTTCCTGAGCTTTATTACTGTCATTATTACTATTAGCAGTTGCATTAATATTTACTTGAATCTTATGTCTTTAATAAAACGATTTTTAAACCCAGAGAAGTTTTCAGGGTTGAGATGGCTATTAGAATTTTGTCTCCCTTCTACAGAAGCTCACAATGACAAGCTCAATGAAATAACAGAGATTCTGACAGTTTCTAACTCTAGCCCTGTATGTCTCAGCATGTGTCTGTCATCATACTTGCCTGGCCACGCATTCAAGGGGACACAGGGTAGGGTCCCTCTGTCTTAGGATTTGCTGTATTTAACCCACTTTACCACAGCCCCTGCAAATTCTCACAAGTTTTTCTATAAAGAGTAATCACCTTGCTTTGTACATTCCTTAAGGGGAAGGATTTTGTATCCTTTATTCCCTAGTGACTATAAAGCTTCTCTAGGTTTGATGAGTGATCATTAACTTTGATGAGAGAAACACGGACCAAAGAGAACCTGCAGTCATCACATCAGTTGATAAGCAAACTGAAAATGATTCCAAGTGATAAATACTGAGGCAAATAGGTAGATGCTTCACATTTTCAGTTACACACAGTTTTCCAAGAACACATCTAGAATTGCTGAGCAACACCTGTATACACAGAGTCCATTATTGTAAAAAAAGCCACAACCACAGTGATGAAGCTTATAAAGTTGATGAAGACATTTGCATCAATTCTGTTTATATTTATTGAGTGCAAACTGGGCCTAGCACTCTCATGGGCATTGTGAGAAATATTAAAAATTCAGCTGGGCGTGATGGCTCACGCCTGCTATCCCAGCACTTTGGGAGGCCAAGGCTGGCCTGGAGTTCAGGAATTCAGGCTGGCCACTGAGGTCAGGAGTTCAAGATGAGCCTGGCCAACATGGTGAAACCCGTCTCTACTAAAAATACAAAAAATTAGCCGGTGTGGTGGCATGTGCCTATAGTCCCAGCTACTCAGGAGGCTGAGGTAGGAGAATCGCTTGAACCTGGGAAGCAGAGGTTACAGTGAGCCGAGATCACACCACCGCACTCTGGCCTAGGCAACAGAGCAAGACTCCATCTCAAAAAAAAAAAAAAATGATATTCTATGAAGAAAAAATTATTAACAATTCAAGAGAGTTAACTCAAAAGATAATGATGTCTATGGACTTGTTTCATGTGGTTTTCCAACCTTCTAGTCTTAGGACCCTTTTAAACTCTTAAAAGCTACTGAGAACTCCAAAGATCTCTATTTATGTGGTTACATTTATCAATATTTAGCATGTTAGAAATTAAACTAAAAGAGTTTTAATATGTAGTAATTTATTTTAAAATAAGAATAGGCCAGGTACAGTGGCTCATGCCTGTAATCCCAGCACTTTGGGAGGCCGAGGTGGGCAGATCACTGAAGGTCAGAAGTTTGAGACCAGCCTGGCCAACATGGTGAAATGCTGTGTCTACTGAAAACATAAAAAAATTAGCTAGGTATGATCTCAGCTACTTGGGAGGCTGAGGCAGGAGGATCACTTGAAACTAGGAGGTGGAGGTTGCAGTGAGCCAAGATGGCACCACTGCACTCCTGCCTGGGCAACAGAGCAAAATCCCATCTCAAAAAGTAAAAATAAAATAAGAATAGACCCATTGCCTGTTAACATAATTAACATGTTCTTATAAAAAAGAACTATATCTTTCAAACAAAAAAGAAGTACGACTCATATGGAAGCTCAATAAGTTGGTCTCATAGAAGTAGAGGATAGAGCAGGGGGATGGAGAGGCTGGGGAGAAAGGAGGGAGAGGACATAAGAGATTGGTTAGCAGAGCCGGGCGCGGTGGCTCAAGCCTGTAATCCCAGCACTTTGGGAGGCCAAGGCGGGTGGATCACAAGGTCAAGAGATCAAGACCATCTTGGTCAACATGGTGAAACCCTGTCTCTACTAAAAATACAAAAAAAATAGCTGGGCATGGTGGTGCGTGCCTGTAATCCCAGCTACTCAGGAGGCTGGGGCAGGAGAATTGCCTGAACCTAGGAGGCGGACGTTGCGGTGAGCCGAGATCGCGCCATTGCACTCTAGCCTGGGTAACAAGAGCGAAACTCCGTCTCAAAAAAAAAAAAAAAAAAAAAAAAGAGATTGGTTAGCAGATACAGGATTACAGCTAGACAGGAGAAATGAGCTCAGTGTTCTTTAACACTGTAAGGTGACTAGGTTAACAATAATTTATTCTATGTGTTCACATAGCTAGAAAAAAAGGATTTTTGAATGTTTCAGCACAAATAAACGATCAATGTTTGAGGTGATGGATATGCTAATTACTTTGATCATTACACACGGTATAAATGTACTGAAATATCACACCGTACTCCATAGAGATGTACAATTATTATGTGTCAATTAAAAATTTTAAAGAGATTAACATCAATTGATAATAAAATGGAAAATTATGAGCAGAAAAAAAAACACATTGCAGAAAGAAGGATTGGGAAGGGAGGTGGGAAGGGTCATCAAAGGACAAGAGGGACCTTTGTAGAGAGGGAATTTCTCTGTATTTTCACTGTGGCAGAAGAAACATGAAACCACACATGCATTAAAATTGTACAGAACTAAATATACACACATATACAAATGGACACACAGGTTCAAATAAAATAGGAAATCTGAGGATGGTATATTGTATCAATGCCAATATTTTATTACGATATTGTATCACAGTTTTGCAAGGTGTTACTTTTGAGGGTTTATGGGATCATTCTGTATTTATTTCTTTCCTTCTTTTCTTCTCTTTTCTTTTTAAGAGATAGAGTCACTCTCTCCCTAGGCTAGAATGCAGTGGTGCAATCATAGCTGACTACACCCTTGAACACCTTGGCTCAAAGGATCCTCTTGCCACAGCCTCCTGAATAGTTGGAATTACAGGCATGAGCCACAGTGTCCAACACTCTGTATTATTTTCTAAAAATTTCCGCAAATCTACATGTACCACAAATTTAAAATTTTTAATTAAAAAATCAGTGAGAAAAATGACATTGTTTTATATCTTTGCAAATTTCCTTAGTATCTGGCTTAATAGAGCATAGCTGGACTCTCAAATCCACTTGTGCATTTGCTTTGTTACAAGGTACGCTTTTGGTTGAAGTATATGAAGAAAATTTAGCCTCACAAAGATATGAAATTGAAGGGAGGAAAAGTAGTATAACAACCCTTTCAGATCATTGGGATATTCTTTTCTGATACTGCACCAACCTTAACAAGAGGCAATTTCTTAAAGATGAGCTGCAACGTGGAATCTAAAACCATTACATTAAAATCCATTAGTCTTCCTTACATTTTGAATTTTGCTTGTGTATTAGTCCATTTTCATGCTGCTGATAAAGACAGACCTGAGACTGGGTAATTTACAAAAGAAAGAGGTTGATTGAACTTACAGTTCCACATGACTGCGGAGGCCTTACAATCGTGGTGGAAGGTGAAAGGCGTGTTTCACGTGGCAGCTGACAAGAGAAGAGAGCTTGTGCAGGGAAGTTTCCATATTTAAAAGCATCAGATCTCATCAGACGCATTTACTATCACAAGAATTGCGCAGGAAAGATCCACCCCCATATATAATTCAACCACCTCCCACCAGGTTCCTCCCACGACACATGAGAACTGTGGGCGTTACAATTCAAGATGATATTTGAGTGAGGACACAGCCAAACCATGTCACTTTTAACATCATGCATTGGTCTTTGGGAAAATAACAGTAGATCTTTGAAATAGTGACACTTCTATTATATAGTATCAAAATATTACATCCATTCATATTACCACTGTTCTCATCAGAAAAAGTCTTTAAGTATTGCAAAGCTGCCAAGCTCACAGTGGCATATGCAAGTATCCCAAAATTCTAATTTTCACTTAAGAGCTCAAATTTTATCATCAGCTATAAATACTGTCATTTGTTTTCCTTGTAATGTCAGGCTCAGGTTTCCCATTTTTGACAAAATTCCTGCCAAATATGCAATCTGAATAGCTACAGTCTGTCTATCAGTTGGCCTTTCAAACAAGTATGGTGTTCCATGGAAAAGCAGATAGTTGAGTTCACAGTTCAAACAATCACAAAAGTGCCTTTCCTCAAGAACCTGCATTTATTCATCTAAAACGTAAGTTTCTGCTTGTAGAACATGGTTTAACAGCTGTGAGAAAGTCATGACAGATGGGTTGGGGCAAGATGATACTCAGAAGTTATATTGCCAGTGCCTGGTGGGGAAGAATACAATGATTATTAGTACAGTTTAGTGCCGCTGCCTCAACTCGTCCTAAGGTACCAGAAATTGTATCCAATATCGACAGTCCCAGTCCTTTGCACACCTGCTCTCTTGCAGCTTCCTTCTCAGCCTAGGCCAGCATCACCACGACGGATGCCTTCTTGTGTACCTGGAAGCTCTCGGACAGCGAGAATTTTGATGACTACATGAAGTCTATCGGGGTGCTTTTTGCTACCAGGCAGGCAGCTAGCATGATGAACCCTACCACAATCATCAAAAAGAATGGGAACATTATCACCTTAAAAACACAGAGCACATTCAAGAACACAGAGATTAGCTTTAAGCTGGGGGTGGAGTTTGATGAGACAACAGCAGATGACAATAAGATCAAGTCCATTGTGACACTGGATGGAGGCAAACTTGTTCACCTGCAGAAGTGGGACGGGCAAGAGAGGACACTTGTGTGGGAGCTAAGTGATGGGAAACTCATCCTGATACTCACCCAGGGCACTGAGGTTCACATTTGCACTTATGAGAAAGAGGTATCACCTGCCTGTGCTGTTGCTGACCACTCCTCTGCTACCGTCTGACTCATCACCACATTGCCTCATTTATTTCTTCTGCATTTTGTATAAATCCACCTTGTTGGGGAATTCTCCTGAGGTCCAGTGCCTCAGGAGAATTCAGATCCAGTTCCAGTTCCCATTGTGTATGTGGTTTGGTTTTTTTTTCATGGCATTCAAAATGTGCTCTCAGGTCAACAAAGCAGAAGCAAGGACCAAAAAAAAAAAAAAATTGTCCAATATCAGTGCAAAGTCAACCTAGTGAAATGCGCAAATTGTGTCTTTGAATTATTATGAAAACAGCAAAAACTCTTTTCTGATCCAAAAGAAAAGGTTTCAGGACCCCACTTTGAAAACTGCTGAGACAGAAGAACCTACCACACTAATTTAAGGATTTAATTTAATCATAACTTAAAGATTTAGGGTTCTTAGTGTCCCTTGACTTCATTAGCAGCACCAGTGACTATTAACTTAAGTATAGAGTAATGTTTTTAACATCATCTGATTACAGATTAATGCTCTGTACCATTAAAATCACAGTAGTTTGCAATTGGCCACTGCAGATAGTATAAAGTGCCAGAATAAAATAAAAACCCCATTACTAATTCTCTTTTATTCTTAAAGGCAAAGCATTTTCTGGCCTTCTTCCTTTAAATTACCCCTGACAGATGGCTAGCAAGATGAGTTAGCCTTTGAGATTTCAGCAAGCTCTGCAGTCATGATCAAAAAAAGGAGAAAGGCTTAAATGTCCCCAACCCCACTTAATAAGGTGAGAAAGACCAGAGCCCAAAGCAGTCAGGATTCTTTTAAAGCCTTTTATCAAGTTTGCCTGTGTGCTTCCCTTAGACTAATTTAAAAGCAAGAGTCTCAGCAAGTGAATCAGCTAGACATGTGCAGAAAGCTAAAACTGGACCCCTTCCTGACACCTTACACTAAAATTAACTCCAGATGGATTAAAGACTTAAACGTAAGACTTAACACTGTAAAAACTCTAGAAGAAAATCTAGGCAAAACCATTCAGGACATAGGTGTAGGCAAGGACTTCATGACCAAAACACCAAAAGCATTGGCAACAAAAGCCAAAATAGACAAATGGGACCTAATCAAACTCCACAGCTTCTGCACAGCAAAAGAAACAGTCATTAGAGTGAATCGGCAACCAACAGAATGGGAAAAAATTTTTGCAATCTACACATCTGACAAAGGGCTAATATCCAGAATCTACAAAGAGCTAAAACAGATTTACAAGAAAAAAACAAATGAGCCCATTCAAAAGTGGGCAAAGGATATGAACAGACACTTTACAAAAGAAGACATACATGAGGCCAACGAACGTATGAAAAAATGCTCATCATCACTGGTCATTAGAGAAATGCAAATCAAAACTACACTGAGATACCATCTCACACCAGTTAGAATGGCAATCATTAAAAAATCTGGAGACAGCAGATACTGGAGAGGATGCGGAGAAATAGGAACACTTTTACACTGTTATTGGGAGTGTAAACTAATTCAACCACTGTGGAAGACAGTATGGTGATTCCTCAAGGACCTAGAAATAGAAATTCCATTTGACCCAGCAATCCCCTTACTGGGTATATATCCAAAGGATTATAAATCATTCTACTATAAGGACACATGTACACAAATGTTCATTGCAGCACTGCTTACAATAGCAAAGACCAGGAACCAACCCAAATGCCCATTGATGATAGACTGGACAGGGAAAATGCGGTACATATACACCATGGAATACTATGCAGCCATAAAAAACGATGAGTTCGTGTCCTTTGTAGGGACATGAATGAACCTGGAAACCATCATTCTCAGCAAACTGACTCAAGAACAGAAAATCAAACACCGCATGTTCTCCTCACAGGTGGGTGTTGAATAATGAGAACACATGGACACAGGGATGGGAGCATCACACACTGGGGTCTGTTGGGGGGAAATAGGGGAGGGACAGCAGGAGGTGGGGAGTTGGGGAGAGACAGCATGGGGAGACATGCCAGATATAGGGGAGGAAGGCAGCAAATCACACTGCCACGTGTGTACTTATGCAACAATCTTGCATATTCTTCACATGTACCCCAAAACCTAAAACGCAATAAAAACAAACAGAAAAAAAAAAGAAATTGGTCCATTATATTTAAGTATCAAATTGGGGGGGCATAGAATTATTTATAATATTCCTTTGTCATCATTTGAATGTCCACAACGTAAGTAGTAATGAAACTATTTTCATTTTTTATATAATGAATTTGTGTCTCCTCTCTTTTTCTTCATTTGTCTGGCTAGAAATTTTATCAACTTTATTGACTTTTTCAAGAAACCACACAATTTCCTTGTGACAAATGTACCAAACCAATAAAATATATTGCTCATAGTGCAAACTAGGTAAGGATATATGGGTGTACTAACAAGTTTTCTGTAAATCTAAACAATTCTAAGGAAAAGTATTGTTTAAATAAATAAAAATAGATTAAGCAAAATTCATATATGTGATGTATACAGTTCATAAGACACATGTAAAACATATTGACATTGACAGGAAAATTTGAAATTGAGGTATATTTATACTTCAGGAAAAGGCATAGGTAGAAATACAAATATCAGTAGCATAAACAAGATAATGATAAAACATACATCAAAGCAAATAATATATCTTATTCTCACAGTCCAGTGAGAAACTACTTAATTTCCTGACCACAACACAATAAAACTAGAAACTGACAACAAAATAAAATTTAGAAAGTATCTTCCTGCAAATAAAAATTTGATCTATACATAATTCTTTCATCAAAAGGAAAGTAAAACTTGAATTACACATTCTTTAAGAATTAATAGCAATAGGAATGCTCCATAGAAAACTCAAGAAATATAACCAATGTCATTTTCAATAGAAAATCCATTATGTTTAACACTGTTATTGTGTAAGAAAAATTTCAATTAAATCAAAAAGTATTCAACTTAAGAAGCTAAAAAAATTAAAAAATAAGAGTAAATAATGGACAAATAAAAATCAGAAATAAATTATCTTGAAAAAAATAAAAGCATCAGAATGAATAAGAGTTATCATTGAATAGATGCTAAAATAAACTAACCTGTGAGAATAAAAAAGTACAACTACATAACATTAGGAATTTTTTAAAGAGTTCATAACCCTATATAGAGATCAGATTTTTTGTAAAAGGAATATTGTGTAAAAAACATATTACTATAATAATTGTAGGAAATTAAAATTAACATAATTACCCAAGAAGAGATAGAAAAACTATTTTTTTTTAAAAATGGAAAACATAAAGATTTACACCCTGAAAGTGATTAAGGCCTGATTAATTTTAGAGAAAAGTTACAACAAATATTCAAGAAATAGATAATTCCTATGATAATTACTGGTTTTGAACAAAGAAAAAATCTGAAACATTCCCATTTTTTTAAGACTTGCATAGCTCTGATCCCAAAACTTGACCATGACATCAAACAGAAATAACTGCCTTCTAATTTTGCTCCTGAATATTTACTCAAGAAAAAAATTTAATATTGGCAAATATTTTACTAGCCAAAGATGAAAAAGCAAATATTCATGGTACAATAAAGGGATAATGCATAGAATTAAAAGGGTTTTATTCTAGGAATGCCAAAATGGTTCAAACTGCGAAAATCATGTAAATTGGTCAAGAGAAAAAGTATTAGCATCTCTGGAAATTCCAAAAAGACTTTTGATAAATATTCCTACTGATCAAAATATTCAGTAAAATAGAAATGAATGGATACCTGCTTATTACAATACTTATTTCTGTGTGTGTGTGTGTTTGTGTGTGTGTGTGCATGCATATGCCTGTAATGAAAAGTCAAATATGCTTCAAATTAATCAAGAACTAGAAAGTTTTCCTCAATCACCATTTACATTTAACATTGAACAATCTAATCAGTGCAATTACACAGAAACCCACAATGAGTCAATATTAGAAAGAAAGTGTGAGAATTATTATTTACAGCTGAAATGTTCAGAGCTTAGTAAAGTGGAAGCTTACTAAACTGTTATGTGGAAAATCAATTGCTTTCCTATAGACAGATATCAGTTAAAAATTTTAGTATGAGTTGCATATGCCTGTGTCCAATAGCAACAAAACCAGGAAATGGCTATTTGGAAAGAAGAGCCAGTTAGCTCCTAGATGACTTCAGTTGCCCTCCCTCAGGGAGTCAGCAACTCTGGCTCAGCAGAAGGCTCTAAGCCCCTGCAGGCAACTTCCCAAGTAATTGGTGGGTGGCCACTAATTACTTCTCACACTAGCAAAGCTGTAACTAACTTCACTTGCAAAACTTACGTCCTGCTAATTTGAGTTTGACTCTGCCCCTCCCAACTCCTCTATAAGCACAGAAGGTAGCAGAAATATCAAGGTTCCTCTCCTGGAGTTCAAACCCCAGTACATCCTGTTCTTGAGTGAATGATGCCAAAATATCCAACTTAGAAATAAGAAAAACTGGAGGCAGCATTGGCAATAGGGAGCTTGCCCATCATGTATTTTAAAACACATAACAATTTTATAAATGAGTCACTAGTGCAGGAAGGGTCAAGCGATAAATCGAATAGAAACAATGATCGGTCCAAACATGTAGAAAATAAAGATCAATTTTAAAATCAATGGGGGAAAATATACACTTAATGAAAGATATTGTTGGAAACTAGGTAGCTATTTGGAGTGAGGAGAGAAATACAAAAGGATTCATGTCTGTTTCTCTATATTAAAATAAATTCCAGATATCTCAAAGATTTGAAGACTTGAAAAATAAAATTATGTAAGTGCCATAAAATGATATGGTGGAATCTTTCTATAGTTGTGGGAATAAAAGTAACAATCTCTCTCTCTCTCTCTCTCTCTCTCTCTCTCTCTCTCTCTCACACACACACACACACACACACACACACACCACCACCACCACCACCAAACCAGAAATTAAGACTGATAAATTTAAGTTTAAATCATCACCACATCATTAGAAAAAACTGAAAAGCAACCTAG